TTTTGTTTTGTTTTTAGTGCATTTTGTTTTGTTTTTCGTGTATTTTGTTTGGAAGTCGGTTTTGTTTTTTTATTAAAAAGTTTATTTTTGTTATAAAATATGTTACATGTAAAAATCAGTAAATACTGGCTCACGACTTCGTCTGAGTTAAAAAAAATAGAATAAATACAGTCTATGCTACTCTGTGACAATATATATTGTTGATAGTATTTTTGAAATATGCCCAGTAGTTTTTGAGTTTATTTAACACATACAAGAATCCAAAAATACAAATCTTTCTTTTTTAGAATATTAGCATAGAAACCTATGCAGATTGTTTATTAGCAAATTTTCTTATGACACTTGCAGCTTAAATTTTTTAATTCAATAGACAATATTCAAGTATCAAGTATTTAATTTCAGAGGCACACCATTGTCAACGGAGAAATGGGACGGCTTGCAGGACACTGATGGTCGAGTTACTGAAGTGGAAGGAGTAAAACAACTTATATTTAGAGGGGTAAGCCTTGTTAAAATTATTAACTAGCTGTTGCCTGACTCCATCTGGACTGATAGAAAAAAAAAATTTAGTAAGCAACCTATGTTATTCACAGCTTCTTTATCTATGTCAAATTTCATTGTAAACTAATTTTGTAGATACTTAGTAACATACATCCATACTAACTTTCGTATTTACATTAGTAAAATTTAGAATTAACACTACAGAACAGTAACACAAATGATAGAACATAAATAATCTAGGATATGAAATATTGAGTAGTAATATATGTCACAAACATCTATCAAAGTATTAAAAAATTTAAGAAATATTATAACCAGAAATATAAAAACCCTCATCATATTGAAAAACATTAAGAAAATGATGTAATAAAGATTGATCGCCCCCAGGTCGGGTACTTATATTTTAGGTTGGGTTTTAATTTTTTTTTTTTATCTTTCGCAGGGTGTAGCACATTCGATACGCCACTCAGTATGGAAATACCTATTAGATTATTATCCATGGACAATGACCCATTCGGAGATAAAAAATCTACAAAGAAAGAAAACAGAAGAATATTTCTCTATGAAGTTACAATGGAGGTCAATGACTGAAGGGCAGGAGTCAAGATTCTCTGAATACAGAGAAAGGAAGAGTTTAGTGGAAAAGGATGTTAACAGAACGGACAGAACTCATCCATTTTATGCCGGTGAAAATAATCCAAATTTAATAGTGCTTCAAGATATATTAATGACGTATGTGATGTACAACTTTGATTTAGGTTATGTGCAAGGGATGAGTGATATTTTGGCGCCATTGTTGTTGTTGTTGGGCAACGAAGTTGATAGCTTTTGGTGTTTTGCCGGTTTTATGGAGAGAATTGTAAGTAACTTTTTTGTACATTCCGCTGCGTAAATATGTATGCATTTAAATTTTATAAACTTATATAGGCTTTCGCATTAAAAATTACGCTAAAATATCAAATTAAACTTAAAAATGAATTCCTAAAAGTAGGAATTTACCTTTTTTAATATAATTTGTTATTGTATTTTAGAGACTATTTATTTTTAAAACGGTCAATTGAAAATGTCGAAATTCAAATTCACAAATGACAACGAAGGGTTTTGCCATTGGCTAACAATTACCATTATTGTAGCAATCTTGCTTTTTTGCTCCTATTGGCTTGTATCTTGGCTTCCTTTTCCAGATGTGAATGTGTGTCAAAATATATAGCCTATAGACTCGTCTAGGGCTTTTTTTAATGGAATTCAGAAATATGTTGTGATTGATATCCTATATATATCAAAGAATTGTGTATTTATGTTTTCTTATATTAGTATAGATATGTATTATTGTGTATTCCAGGCGGCTAACTTCGACATGGACCAGGCGGGCATGAAGCAGCAGCTGCTGCAGCTCCAGCAGCTGCTGACGTTCGCAAGCCCCGAGCTGGCGCAGCACCTCGCGCAGAAGGACTCCGGCAACATGTACTTCTGCTTCCGCTGGCTGCTCGTCTGGTTCAAGAGGGAGTTCTCGCACACTGATATCATGAGGTTACACTAATATTCTTTTTTATCAACTTAAAGAGGTTAACAAATAAAAATCTATACTAAAATATTATAAAGAGGAAAGATTTGTATTTTTGTGATTGCGTATGTATTGAAAAAACTCAAAAACTACTGGGCAGATATTGAAAATTCTTTAACTATTAAAAGTTATGTTTTCAGTAAATAAAATGGGATATATATTTTTTTTTATTTTTCTATTTCACGCAGATGAAGTCGCAAGCAACAGCTATATTATATATAATGATAAACATAGCTTAGGTTAGAGATAAATTACCTTTCTAATGGTGATAGTATTTTTAAAATTCGCCCAGTAGTTTTTGAGTTATTTTTAATGCAAACATGTAAATCTTTTCTCTAAATAATATACTAATAGATGTACAGTTTATCAAGTTAAAGAGGTTCTCATTTTTATATAAGTGCACAAATATTTATATGGTTACAAATTTATAAACTTATATAGGCCTTTGGGTTGAAATAAACAAAAACCAAATTATGTGGATATTTGATTTTGCTTTAGTGTGATGTATGATAGTTGTCATTTAAACCCATTTTTTGATTTAATGAATTATTATAATTATGCTTTAAATAAAATGTAAAATTGTTTCAGGTTATGGGAAGTGCTCTGGACGGGGCTGCCATGCGCTAATTTCCATTTATTGATATGTGTTGCCATTCTCGACACGGAGAAAGATATATTAATAGGCAAAGATTATGGATTCACTGAAGTTTTAAAAGTAAGTTTTTAAAAAATAGTGAAGAACAAAAGATTTATAAAAAAATACTTATTCTTATATAACCACACTAGCTTTCGCCCGCGGCTCCGTCTATGTCAAATTAAAAAAGATAGCCGATGTGTTCTTCAAGACTATCCTCTTCATCTATGCCAAATTTCATCGAGATTTCAGCAGTTTAGGTTACAAACGCTAGCAAATATCCATACATCCATACTTTTGCATTTTTTTTTAAGTTTTTAATCTAGCGCTTGACCACGATCCCACCGACAAATGCTCACTACTTGGTCGAAAGATGGCATTTATAATATTAGTAAGATCTGTGAGTTTTAAAGATTTTTTTTATTATTTCTGGTTTTATTGAGTTATCATATTATTTTTCAGCATGTCAATGATTTGTCAATGAGATTGGATGTAGATAAAATTTTAAGCACAGCGGAAGGTATATTCCATCAAATAGTTTCCGCACCTCATTTAACGGACCAAATCAGAATAATACTCGGTCTTCCTACTATCGGAAGAACGGACACAGAAGTTAATCAAGACACAGAAGTCAGTCCGAAAGCAGAATGTTCCAGAAGTAAGGAATCTTCTAGAAGTAATGGTTCAGATCAACGTGTCTTTGCACCGGAGGCGGACGAAGTTATGTATCAAATAGGTCTTGATATGAATTTCTAAAAGCGGTGATTATTCTCGCTGTTATATATGTATATATTTTTGTTTGTATGTCTTTGTATTGCATTTTGGATAATTCACAATTTATTGCATGCAAACATTAAATTTATTAAAGGTACTGTAAAGTTTTTTTAGAACTTTTTTTATGAATCCAAAAAAAAACTTAGAATGTTTTTTCTAAAAGATTTATAATTTCTTTTTTTATTTTTAAGAATTTCTTAATTTCAATTAATTAAAAAAAATGTAACATTTTTTACGATTCCGATTTTTTATTTGTTGTGAATTGTTCAATTTTTTTGCATGTCTAGTGCTCAAATATAAATTTATATTATTCGTAGTTCTTCCATCAGTAGCTTGTTTTTGTAGTTTTTTTGTGTTGGAAATGTTTGTAATAGGTATTGTTGTGCACTTTGTAAATAATGGTTTCTAACATAGCTTATATTCCTGTAAAAATATTAAAAAATTAAATAAACATGACTTTCCAATATATATGTGTTTAAAATTCTACAAGTTATTTGTAATTGTAGTTTGAAACTGATTCTGTAATATAGAAAATAGTATAAAAAAATAGATTGACTTAAAAGCCATCCCTTAGTGTTTGTGATAAATCTTCGCAAATCACTAAGGGAAGCCATATTTTAGTACAAATAGCGAATTTAGAAAAGATTTTATAATATTCAATACAATTTATTTACAATACAAATATTTTAGTATTATCAAACTTATGTATTACTAATTGGCATATTTAATATCAGGCTAAAAATACATTATATAAAATTATATATAGTGTGACAAATTTAATTGGCCTTCGTACAAGTGAAAAACTCAAAAACTACTTGACCGTTTTCAAAAAAATCACTGTTTAAAAGCTACCTTATCACTTACTAATATAGGCTACATTTATAGATTTTTTCATTCCGCTCGGACGCAGTCGCGAGTAATCACTAGTTTGTTTATTTTTTTTAACACAAATGTAATAAAAGCCCTATCTTTACTTGGCCACAAAAGTTTGTGGATATATAGTTTAGTTAGATTTTTATGGGTAGGTAGAAAGTTTTGTTTGTTTATTAAACTATAGGTTGTTGGCGACTTCGTCCATGTGAAATTAAAATATAGTAAATATATAGCCTATGTTACTGATAACGTTGTTTTTTTTAATGGTGAAAGATGTTTTAGAATCAGCCGAGTAG